ACATGTATATATATGTGTGTGTGTATATATATGTATACATTACATAGATTTAATTTTTAGAATCAGCCAAAAGTTAGTTGGTACGAAGTCCTATGAATAAGGTAGGAGACCAACATGGACAATATTCTGTTCATCTAAAATGATGTGTGACTGTGGAATACCGTGTCTGATTTTTTGGATAAGTTTTGTTAATTTCAAAGGCAGAGTTCCACTGATATTGTGTGACATGCAGCATCATTGCAATAGGTTTGTTGCTTCTCAAAAGGACCCTGAGGAAAAATACTCTTTAGATATAAGAATTCTGATGTGTTCACAAAAAGCTCTAACTTCTTAGATAGAGAGCCATGCCTAAAAAAGGCTGTTACCCTTTAGGAATCTTCTGCCTTATTAGGAAGGTGGCGTGGAAACAAGTGTGATAGTTAGAGAGCAGGAGTTGGCATTAATGACTTGGTGCTGAAACAGGGTGAGGTGATGGTGTGATACAGTCCGGAAGCCGGGGCGGCTGACCTCACTCCCCTTTGGAGCTTTACACCCACCCGCGAAGGTATACGTTGTCTTCCTGTCAAAATTTGCCCTCTGCTTTTTCCCCTCAAGTTTTCTCTTTTGTTTGTTTACTATTTGTTTTATTCAGATTAACTTATGAGAAAAGGGTGTTGAGTGTGTCTATGTGTTAGATTTCTCCTGGTTCCATGTTATTGCAGGACTGATTCTGGAAATGAGAAGTAAAGAAGGACAGCAATTAGCAAGAGCGCTCAGGATGGCTTCTTGAAGTAGGTGGGTGGAACTTGCTGATCTGAACTAAGTTCTGGAGAATAGACATGACATGCATTGCTTCAGTGCACAAGAAATTCAAATTTAATAATAAGTATACATTCTTTGTCTAATGCATGGTGGCATTGTCTCCTACAAGAATGCAAGAGACTCAGGCCAGGGCTAGAGCTTCTGAGTCTTTGTTTTGTTTTGAAAGACTGGCACCTGAGCTAACATCTGTTGCCAATCTTTTTTTTCTCTTCTTATCCCCAAAGCCCCCCGGTACATAGTTGTATCTTCTAGTTGTGAGTGCCTCTGGTTGTGCTATGTGGGATGCTGCCTCAGCATGGCCTGATGAGTGGTGCCATGTCCACCCCTAGTATTTGAACTGGCAAAACCCTGGGTCACTGAAGTGGAGTGCGCAAACTTAACCACTTGGCCACGGGGCTGGCCCCCTTCTGAGTCTTGTGTATTTCTCACACCATAGCAGAGTGCAGGATGTACTCATTCAGGCCCATCTCAAGAGGTGCCTCTTCTCTGAAGCTTTCCACGGCCCTCTTCAGACAGAATTGTTACCTCCTGATTTCCATCTTGTATTCCTTTAAACCAACCCTGTGTCTTAGTCAGCTTGGGCCGCCATAACAAAATACCATAGATTGGGTGGCTTAAACAACACAAATTTATTTTCTCAAAATTCCGGAGGCTGGGAAGTCCAAGATCAAGGTGCCGGCTGATTCAGTTCCTGGGCTGGACTCTCCTCCTGGCTTGCAGACAGCTGCCTTCTTGCTCTGTCTTCACCTGGCAGGGAGAGCCAGCTCTTTAGGGTCTCCTCTTATAAGAACACTATACCATCGGATCACTACTCCACCCTTATGACCTCATTTAACCTTAATTACTTCTTTACTCCGAATACAGCTGCACCGGGGGTCAGGGCTTCAACATATCAATTCTGAGGAGACACAATTCAGTCCACAGCACCCTTGAAACACTTACGACATTGTGTTGTAATAATTTGTTTATGCCTGTCTCCAATAGACTATGGTCTCCTTAGGTGCTGAGCACTGTGCTAGGCATTGGGAATCTCAAAGATGGACCTTGCCCTCAAAGAGTTTGTCCTTATTTATATTCATTTTCCATGGCTGTTAATGAATTACCACAAGCTTATAGGTTTAAAACAACACACGTGTATTACCTTACTGTTCTGTAGGTTAGAAGACACAGGTCTCACTGGGCTAAAATCAAGGTGTAAGCAGGGCTGTGGTCTTTTTGGAGGACCTAGGGGAGAAGCTGTTTCTTTGCCTTTTCCAGCTTCTAGAGGCTGCCTGCATTCCTTGGCTTGTAGCCCCCTTTCTCCATCCTCAAAGCTGGAAATATTGCACCTCTGTGACCACTTTTCTGTAGTGATGTCTCCCTCTGATACAGCTGGGAAAGGCTCTCTTTCTTAAGGAACCATGTGATTATGACTGGGCCCATCCAGATAATCCGGCATAGTCTCCCCATCCCAAAGTCCTTAATTTAATTACACCTGCAAAGTCCCATTTGCCGTGTCAGGTAACGTATTCATTCTTGGGGGAGGAATTATTCTGCCTATCCTATTAGTGGAAGAGTTGTTAGTGGCCTCGAGTGTATTCCAACTTCTATTGACCCTATGTAGAGCAGAGCGGAACCCCACGCGCTCTTTTTGAGCCATCTACTCACCTTCTGGCACTATATCAGAAAATGTTCATTTGTAACCATCCTTTATTGAACAACCACCTTCTCCTGTGCTTCCCACATATTAGTACCCTGAATAGATTTTCATTATTGCACTTGGCACATTACATACATTCTCTGATTTACATTTCTCTCTTCCATTAAGCCAGCACTGGTAGTCTAGTTGTTAAGATTCAGTGTTCTCACTGCCATGACCTAGTTGGTGCCATCAGGGAACCACACCACCCATCTGTCACTTGTCACCTTGTGGTGGCTGCATGTTTTTGAAAGATATTTCACCAATATTTCAAATACCAGCAGGGTCACCCACCATGGACAGGTTTCAGCAGAGCTTCCAGACTAAGACAGACTAGGATGAAGAAGCTGACCACCCACTACCAAAAAAATTGGCCGTGAAAACTCTATGAATAGGGCAGAGCATTGTCTATAAGTTTATGAGGAGAGGCTAGCTCATGGAAATCATGGCAGGATTATAGCTGAGCACCAGAAATGAACTAGAATGAGGACACAAGTACTATTTAGGACTTCTCTTTGTTTTCCCCTGCTCTTCTCTTTCTGTCTTTTAATTTCATTTTTCTCTTTCTCTGAAGATCAGTGTCTTTTTTTTGCTTGGTAAGATTCACTCTGAGCTAACATCTGTTGCCAATCTTACCCCCTCTCTCTGTTTTTCCTCCCCAAAGCCCCAGTCCATAGCTGTATATTCTAGTTGTAAGTCCTCCTAGTTCTTCTATGGGAGCCATCACCACAGCATGGCTACTAACAGACAAGTGGTGTGGTTCTGCACTGTGGAACCCAACTTGGGCCACCAAAACAGAGTGTGCTGAACTTTAACCGCTAGGCCATCAGGGCCAGCTCAAGACCAGCATCTTTTGCATCTCCCTTCTGACACTGAAAACGTCACTGACCGTAGTTCCAGATTTTACACCTTCTTCTATAGTTACTCAAACACTAATCTCTCTTTCTCTCTCAATTCCATAGTCCTGGGAAAGGGCTCTGATTGATGCAGCTCGGGTCTCACCCTGGTGCCCAAGGCTGCAGCCAGGGCACAATTAGTTGCCCTTCATGCCCTTCTATCTTCATGATCACTCTGGCTACAGCCATGTGGTGGATGAAGGAGTGATTCTTAATAAAGGCATGCTGGGCAGACATTCTATAGGATCTGCTTCAGCGGAGAAGATGATAGGTTCAGTTCTATTTGTCTTTCTCTTCTACTTAAAAAAAAAAGTTGAGGTTCTTAATTTAATCACATCTGCAAAGTCCCATTTGCCATGTACAAATGGCAAATGCCATTCAATATGACACATTTGAAATTCAACTATGTTGTTGCTGTATCAGAAATTTTCTGTTTTTGTTGCTGAGAATATTTCACTGTATGCACATATCATACTTGTTTATTCATTCACCTTTTGATGAAAACTGGGGTTGTTAGTTTTTTGGTTGTTATGGACATTTTTACATAAGTCCTTTTAGGGTCAGAGGGACATTTGTATCATTAAATGCTGAAATTAGAAAAGACGAGCTCAGTTTTGAATAAGTTAAGTCAGAGGTACTTGTGGGACATTCATTCAGGGAGTGAGGTGCAGGACCAGTTGGAGTACAGTCTAAGGCACAGGAGGGAGAAGTGGGCTAGCAATTTAGATTTCTGTAGTCGCTGCCCATTGTGTAGAGTTAAAGCCACGGGAAAGTCCTCAGTACAGCATAAAGCGGAGACAAGAGAAAGCCCACGAATTAAATCCTGAGGAGTATCGTATTCGAAAAGAGGAGACGTGTAAGGAAGCCAAGAGAAGCATGGCCATTTATCTTTGAGTTTCCATCACCTGGCACTGGACCCAACGTACAGTCAGTTCTCAATTTGCTAAATTTAAAAGAATGGGCGCGAAGTACATGGTTATTGATAGACCCTATAGAAGGTGAAAGGTTGGGAGGAGAAATGGCATGAGTCGCGAAGGACAGAATGAGCGTGGTAGATTGAAGAGCGGGAGTGGTGCGGGTGAGCGCGACGGACTCCACTGTTGCTTAGGCGGGGTGGGGGACCGAGTCATTAATGTAGAGTAGGGAGGGTCAGACTATGCAGGGCCTGAAACGGACGTCAGATTGAAGAATTTAGACTCCAACAGGCCGGCCACGCGGAGAGCCGGGTTCTGGAGTAGGGCCTAAGAACAGGAGATTTCCTTCTGAGAAGCGTACTCTGGCGGCGGCGCCCTGGTGGTGGCGGCGGAGGTGCTGCTGCTGCCTACACTGGCGACACTGCTGTTGTCATCGGTGGTAGTGCTCTCCACTGGACTTAAGCTTTGTAGCCACTGAAAAGGAACAGTGCCGCCAGCTGCTGCTGACTTCATGCCATTCCCTGACCAAGTGCCCTAACTTTGCGTCTGAGCCTGGGCAGCAGAAGACAGGGGCGGTGGCATCTAGCCGCAGCTGGGAGGCAGTGGTGCGCGCGCGGACGGGGCTGTCTGGCTGGAAACCCTGGGGCGGAGCAGCAGCCCGGCAGGGCGCGGGCGGGGCGGTCGTGGAGCCAGGCCACGCCCCCGCGGGCCCGCGCAGGCGCGCTGCGGGCCGTTAGCTGTCAGGAGCCGAGCGGCGGGCGGGCGGCGGGATCCGACGTTTGCGCTGGACCCGGTCGACTGAACCCAGCGCGGCGGCTGCTAGGGCGGCGCGGCCCCGGCGCTGGGCCAGGACGCAGAGGCGAGCAGGGACCAGCGGGCGGCCGGCCGCGCAGGAAGATGGGGAACCGGGAGATGGAGGAGCTGATCCCGCTGGTGAACCGTCTGCAGGACGCCTTCTCGGCGCTGGGACAGAGCTGCCTGCTGGAGCTGCCGCAGATCGCCGTGGTGGGCGGCCAGAGCGCCGGCAAGAGCTCGGTGCTCGAGAACTTCGTGGGCAGGTGAGCGTGCAGGGCGCGTGGGGGCGGGGGACGGCCCCGCTCCCGGCCGTTGGGACGTGGACCGGCGGCGGGAGCCCACGGTGCACCCGGGGCTGCGGCGGAATGCAGGGCACATTGGCAGTGTCCGCGGGGCGGGCGCGGTCCTCCGGCTCCGGGCATCCTCCGTCCCCCCCGCCTGGTGGCCCTCCTGTTTGCCTTTCATCCTGCGATAAAAAGCCATTTCCTCCCCGTCCTCCGGTCAGGCTGTCGGGGGAGGGAGTCCGCCCGGGGCTCGACTTCCCCCGCCCGGAGCGCGCCAGCCTCGGGCAGCCTGGATGCGGAGCGCGCCCGGGCGCTTCCCAGTCCCCCTCTCCTGTTTCCCGGCTCCACGTCTCCCTGTTTTTTCCTCTCCGCTTCCCCGAGGCTCTCCGCAAGGCTGTGGGGCTTTATCCCCCCGCCCTCCGCGGAGATGCTCTCCTTCTCGCCCTGGTTCTCGGCTCCTCTCAGCTGTCTACTGTTCGAGACAGTCGTCGCCTGCCCCTAGCAGAGGAGGCGGGGTGCGAGGAGAAAGAAATCGTTTGTTGTGGTGAAGCTTTATCCTGCGACGCTTCCCCACCATTCTCCTCCCTAGGAGTCGAAGAATAAAAGGTGGTGTGTTCGCGTGTGCACTTCTTCACAGCTCCAGGCATATGTCAGAGAAACCGAGGCAGCCACTCTGAGGGGGGTGGATGTGGACTTATGTGGTCCAGGTGCCATGTCATTCCTGCATCATCTCGGAATTGACCAGCATCTTTCTCGCACTCTCTCTGCGCCCCCTCCCCCAGCATCGTCTTCTGTTCCCTAAGCTCTTATTTGTCCAGCGAGTCTTTAAGATAACATGCTGAATCTCAATTATAGTTATAGATTTCTTCGTGACTCTTAATACAGAAAAAGATATAGAATTAATTTTTGAATGGGGAATCAGCATTTCATCCACTGAGCAATTCATGAGGGATTAAGTTACCTTATGGCCTTGCCTGAGGAGTGCAGACATTTGCAAAGAAAAGACCATTTGAAAACGTTATGAAAGCTGTCCTGGTGGTACGCCAGGTAGACATGTACCGCAGCCGAGAGAGTGGGCCGGAGCAGGGACGATCCAGAGATTGTGCTGTACTCTTTTTATTTGGCTAGTTAGTGATTTGGGATTCAGAAGGTTCCTGTTCCTGTTCCTTTATTTGATTAGTGTTTGATGATTGTGAAATTTAGATATTCCCACATCTCTTTGGGAATGTTAGTATCCATAAAGAGCATATTCTTTCTTCCGAGATCATGCTGTCTCTCTCAGATGTTACTCTTGGTTGTCCACCCCCCCCCCATATGAACTAGAAAGCTAAGAAACCTAATAAAAAAGTAAAATTGCTGACAGTTGGCTGTCATCTTTGAGTAAGTCAATCACTTTGTCTCAGTTTTGTCATTTATTTTGAGTGACGAGAAAAGTGATGGTAAAGCATTTTGCTGACGTCATCATAGACTTATGGTGAAGTGATGGATGGATATGTGATTTCAAAAATATACATACAACCGTCACATACTTAGGGGTTTTACTTTCTTTGATTTGTTGCCAATGAAATTCACTAAATTTAAAGCAGGGAAAGTGAGGTTTGATGACAATGTGTTTTTGGGTTTTCAAGCTCCAGGGCATTTAATATGATGCCTTAATAGACATTTAATTACTTTTTTTAAACAAATAACTTAAAGATTAAGATTTTTAAATAACTCAAATGCAATTACTGTATTTTTATGCATCTTTCATATATTTAGTTGGATGAGCCTATATTATAAATGCGTTGCTTGTGGCAAGAGCTTTTGAACCTAATCTCAATTTTATGCACATATCTCAGTTGTTCTTTCCAGGGTTTCAATCCTAACACACTTCTTAATGCTATGATAAAATTGTCCACATTTCCCCTCACTACCTATATTCTTTGGTAAAGAGAATTTTAAAAAAGAGATATGGAAGGGTGAAATATTTTAGCTTGAACATTTTTCATGATAGAATGAAAAATAGGGATATTATAAATATTAGACAAATCAGAGCATTGACCAGAATGCATTAGTAATTTGTTATACTTCTTAAAGTTTTACCAGTAATTAATTACTGTTAGAATGTCAAAGAAAATGATGAACATAGAGCGAAAGCTCATTTTAGAAATATATAAAGGCTTTATTATCTGTAGAGATGACACCTGCCTAGCAGAGCTTATATATTAGGAGAAAATTTAATTAAAAAGGTCATTTGACTTTAATAAAGGTTTCAGTCATTGAATTATTGAGGAATCTAATTTCTAATTATAGACCAACCTTAGGGAAAAAAGGAGTTCTCTATTTTGATAAGAGATTCATCCTGGGCCGAAAAAAACTACTCATCTTTACTATAAGCTTTTTCTTTTTATTACTCAGAAATTTTGCAATAAAGATAAGGTCCTCTCCTTTAAGGATGAAACTTTCCTCTTTCATATGTGGCTGTTTTCATTTTAAGAGTCTGACCTATGTGCGGTTATTGAATGCAGTCGTAAAACAAGAGATCATTTCTTGTGTAAATTAATAGTGTTTGCTCATCATTTAAGCTTGTTCTCTTCAAAATAATGATCCATTTTCTCTTCAATATTTAACAATCCATGTTTAGTGGACTAGCCGTGTCTTCTCCTCTCAGATAGTTTGTTTATATTAATTTTTTTGACACCACTGAATGAATTTGGATTTGAATGTGTTTACTTCATTTACTGTAGCTATAAAACCAATTTTGGGGTGACAAGTTTGAGATTGTTATGAATAAAATGAGTCCTGAATGAACTACTTGTTTGTGATTTTCTTGCTGAAGTGATAAATTTACATATTAATGATATAGTGTGAGTAACCAGATTGTTCTTTCGGTTGTTCAGATGAGATATATGCTGGCAGTGAGAGGCAGCTTAATGTCTGATGAATAAAAGCTGAGACTCATGGTCTCAATATAGGGGTTCACTAGCTGGCTTGGGGTCTGCCCATTGGTCTGGTTTCTGTATGGAAGAATTGAATTTATTCAGCTTCTTTCACGTCCTTTTTTTTTTTTTTTACAGTGCAGTGAGATGATAATGGTTCACATTTATTTGCTGTGCATCAGGTGCTGTTCTAGATGCTTTTACATGGATAATCTCATTTATCTTCATAAAACCCCAAAGAGGGTTTTATGGGTTCCATTTTACAGATGAGGAAATTGAGATTTAGAGAGTTTGAGTAACTGACTGAAGGCTAGTTTAATTTAACCTAAAGTGGTAGAGCTGGCATTCACCCTGAGGTGTCTGGGCTCTATACCAATCCTCTAAAACCTCTGTGTCATATTGCTCCCTCCATATTGAGATTTACTAATTCCTCTGATAAATACTTTTAACTTCATTCTTTGGCCATGCTTAAAAGTACCACCTAAATAAATAAGCTGCTATATTAATGATTTTATTAATATTTATTTATATTTGTCTACCTTGCCTCATTTCACAGATGATTTGAGGCAACCCCTTGGGGGGAACAACATTAATTAAAAGATAAGTATTTGTCTTTAGTATGTTGGACATTCTTGAAGGGAGCTCTAGTATGTAATTGGGTTGTTTATTTAAGTATGTGTTTAGCGTGCATATAACTTGTTTATAGAGGTGTTAAGTGAAAACTGTACTAGTTGCTAATGTGCAAATGTTTTTTAATGATATACTTGTTAGAAACACTAGTTCTTTAATGCTAATTATATAGGCAGAGCATTCCACATTATTTTATTCTAGCCTGAGTGGTAAATAGACTTTCAATTTTGCACAGATAGAATAGGTTTTGTGATTAATTGAGACCAAATAAAAGATTTTTTTAAGTGACTATGTTGAGGGGAGATCATTTCAATGTGGGAGTATCAAATAATATATGTTTATTGAGTCGTGAGTTTTCTAAAGATGGATATATTGGTCACCAACTTAAAGTTGTTTTGCAGGAGAACCTTAAACGTGAGCCGTTTGATGCTGTTGTTGAATGGACGTGACCAGAGAGTTTCTAAAAAACCCAGAAGTCATTTATATGGCTTAAATAGACACGAATCTAGTCTTAAATCCTTTGACTGATTTCAAGAGAGTATTTAAAAATTGAGGAGGTAAGAATTTTCTAATTGCAAATGAGATTAGGCACAGAAGCATTCATATTAGTAAAACTTCTTAATTCAGAAATAGGTTTGTATTGAGGGAAAGATTTTTTTAAAATATCAAAGCATGTGAATTAGTGAATATTTTTCAACAAGTAACTTTCAAGTATTAAAGTTATTAGATAAATGGGTGCTAACAATTAAAATGTGATAATTGTTGAAAATCATGCTTCATGGTTCCCAAGCCTCTATTTAAATAAAGTATCAAAAACATGAACTTTTTTCATCCAACAATGAATTGCTAAAAACTGAAATTACAAAGATATTCTTGCTGAATTAACGTTACCTAATGTTTTAGGTTATCACAAATTCACAGTTGGTAGGATTTAATTAGCAAAGTCAAGTTAATTCTTTTTTTTTATTAATAATATCTAAGAAGCAATACAACTAGGTGAACTGGGCTGGATAAGATATCTCTGTTTTGAAATTTGCTTACGATGAACAGATATCAGAAAATGCACTTGGTTAATTTCTTTAGGAGTGAAGTTGGGCACGCAGTCATCCAGAACTTTGGAGGGATGGAAACTTCATAGCTATGCTAGAAGGTAGGCCGTTGGGTTCTCTACTAATGGAACGTACGTTTAGTATATTAGGTGTTTAGTATATTAGGTAGTACCTTTGGTAGGACTAGTAAGTGGAGTTAAATTATGGTGTTTTACTTTTTATTATGATTTATTTAATGTTAAGAGATGGCTGCAAGCAGCTCAAGGAAATAGATGGGTTTTTCCTCTCCCACCAAAGCCAAGTCCAGAGAGCCTCAAGCTAAGGTACTGTGGAATAATCCAGTTTACTTTCCTATATGGCCAAAGTTTTGCCTACCTCTAAG